CGACATCGATCGGCGCCGCAGGAAGCACCGTTTCTACGGCACACGAGGCGACGGTGGGCGAGAAACCACGCTGGCTCGCGGCGTCGGTCCGGCCGCTCCGAACTTCTCGGTCCAACGAGCCAGCACGAGAAGGCCGGGTGCGCTTACAGTGTGACTGATTGGGAAATGTAAGAAAATAAGTGGCTTTATCGAATTGATGTGGAAGTTGTACAATTGACAATTGCCTGAAAATGTGCGTCTGTGAACACGACAGCAGCAAATGCAATACGCTGGTAGGGTGAAGTCGTATAAGAGTACGCACTTAGTGGATTTCTTGCTCTCATTTGTTTGATATTTGAAAGAAAGAAATCGCAAATAGGGAATATTAAAGTTCATTGAATTAGCCATCAACCCATGGGGCAACGATCCTTCAGCGTAAATGGAAGTGGTCTAAAACTGACATTTTCTGAACCACTGCAGTTGCGTACTCTTACCATATGGGGTGTGTAAGAGTACGCACGCCAGGCGGGTGGAGTACGCAAGCATATGAACACACACCTATGCAGCTTGTACTGTCCAAATGCTTAACTTCAAACTCAGAAGGCATTTAAGTTAATTCGAGTATCCAAAAAGAAAAACATAAAATAAATCTTTCAAGTCTATAAATCAGGAAATAATCATGTCGTGTGTTTCTTTAAAAAAAATGCACAATCAAAAGGGAGAATAGCTCGTATTTGGAAGAATTTCGGGTACGCATCTGCAATTCACAGTGCTCCATTGATGATATACCTACAAAACAAACGTCATTGAGCGATAGATTAATAACTTTATATTTCTGTATATTCGATTTAATGTATAATTCTGCGTACTCTTACCCTTCTGAACAGTGCGTGCTCTTACCGTACATGCAATTCGCGCACAAAACAGCCCCGAAACGTTGTGCAAAACTTCGCAAACAGAATATTGCACTGCACAGTATTTCCCCAGAAAACCTCACAAGTTTCCCACAACAATCACGGAAATGTACCTTATCTCAACTGCCAAGTATCAAAATTATTGTACTATACCATAATAATATCATAACGCTCAAAAATAATATTCATCGCCTTAAACTCAACGGCGTCGCCGCTCAACGCCCACGTTCCGTTGGTGACAAGCACGCACTGGCGGCTTCATGTCACTTCATGAACTCGACGAACCCGCGTTGCTAAGCAACCGAAACAGCTGATGCGTACTCTTATCGCCCGCGTACTCTTACCCGCCCTTACCCTATACTCGTACTATTGGGCATTTCCGTTCGTTGCTCAGCTTCAATAAGTGGACTCGGGCAGTCATTGACAAGCCGTACTGAAAGTCGCCGTTATACTTGCATATCGGATAGCTGACTTCAAAGAGGTCATGCACCGTCTTCATTTCTCAGTATTTCCCGAGAATAAGTCAAAGGTTCTCGCCCTGTTCACCAGGCCCCGTTTTATCATTTGTTTCCTACTTCCTAGCATCATTCATCTCTGTTCTGTCTCCGTGTAAGAACACAACTGTCTCCTGACACAATACCCGTCTCCTGGCTCCCACGCTCGTCTCCTCGCGTCTCTGGTTCGTCTCCTCGTGTCTCTGGCGGCGGGGACAGCTGTCATCGACCGTCTCCGTTCGCGTGTTTCCCACTGGACCATGCTTGGCCAGCTCCTGTGGCACGGTAACGTTTCTGTACCGTTCGCCCCACTGCCGCGCTGACCCGAGTTAATTATGATTGTGTTATGATTACGGATCCAACGGTATTTATAGTAGACGGTTAAATCGGCATGCGGCTTTTGATGGCTCCTCTGAAGGTGCATTGACTGGAGGTGAGCCTGCTCGTATAGCGGTGTCTGTCTTCAGCGTGCAATAAATCAAGGCGGGTATTTTTAATGGCACTTATATGAGGAGCTAATGTAAACCGTCTTCAATACGAGGACGAACCTAAGTACGATACCTCGTGACAGAAGGCTGGATCGTTAGATATGATCACTTTAAAATCACGCAGGTCACGCGATCAAACATAACTCAAGGTCACAAAGAGTCAAGGTAGTGGTACATTTCGGTACAGCCAAACTCCTACTCCAAACCTTGGTTCATTACAAATCAATTGACGAGTCGCTCAGCGTCACCTTCTCCTTCGGACCACTGCACGTGGGCGGCCGGTCACCGGTACGGAAATAAGAATGCCGACCGCATCAGTTCAAATCCGCACAAGATCAGCACGCCGGAACACAGGGGTGCGATCAGTGGTGAGCTGAAGGGGTGCTCGCGGTCTGTTCCGCTGTCTGAGATGATATCCATCGATCACGACCCGTCTGATCTTACCGCCGACATCTCTGAGCTCCGTCACCTTCGACACCGCCCCATCCGGCCGACTGAAGAGGGAGGGGGAGGGAAGAGGAGGGGAGGGAAGGGAGCTGACCCGCACGTGGCCCACACGTGGTCACTGGTCATCCATCCGTCCACCCGCTGCTCAGCCGTCGGTCCGTGAGGTTCCCAGGGATAGCTAGCGTCCCGGCTGGGAAAGTTATTGGTAATGACGGTCAGTGCAGTGGTGTACGGGAACCGGGCTGCACAGTTTGGTGATTTGTGGGGTAGTGAAAGTAATATGCACCAGTGTGACAGTAGTATTGAACCAGCCCAAACAAGGGATGTCGATGAAGCGTGCAGTAAAAATACGTGTACGGAATTAGGAAGAAGGATGCATTATTTCGCTGAACAGATTCTAATACTCAGTTCCAAGGAGTGGCGTTTTCCTCTAATAATCGTGCAGCAATCTATAGGTGTGTCTATTTGCAGCGCATGTGGTGGTTACTGTCCCGGCTACTCTATTTGGCCGTAATTACTTATATCAAGTCATTGTTTCATTGTTATCATTGATATTGCTTCAATTGAATTTGAGGACACAAAACTAAAAGTGGTGGCCTCATGCTGCACCTATTCAGTTGTCTGAGCTTTTTAAGCACGCATGGAACTGAATCGTCTTCCCCGAATGTCATGAATAAGATTTATTTGATGATAACACATTAAAATTGACATAGACCGAGGCTCACATATCAATTATGGGCTGCCTTACCACGCTACAAAACCACAAGTGTAGTAGAGGCAGCTTCTTCCTACGAATTTCACGTATTTAGATTCGTCTTGTCGCGTTTGACGCTCCTTATTCACAGTGTCCTTGGCCTAATGAAGCAGTTTCAGAACCATATCGATTGGCAACAGATGTCAACCGGCCTTAAAAGCACGCATATAACGTTCCGTTTTATGTGCGGCATACATCATTCTCGTGTCACTTTACGCCCTCTCCCGCCGTGCGTTCGACAGCCCATGGACTCTTCTCAGATTGTATTCAAAACGCATCGCCGCCATTTAGCCTCGATAAGAACCCGCAGATCCCAGGTCTGTTGCGTCAGGGACTGAACCCTGGACCCAGTGTGGTTTGCTCCCTATTTGGTCAGCTGTGTCCCCCGACCGGACAGAAAAGGAAGGCCTGAATTCACCTCAGAGTGCCCGCCTATAGGCGTGCTTTAACTCGATGTCACAAGTGATTTAGAGGAAGGGCTTCCGAAATCCGAGCCCGCCAAGGCTCTATGCTGCGAAGAGACTGAATAGTGAATATGTGAGATGACCGCACGGCCTCTGGACTTTGCATGGTTGATGTGTGCCACGGTTTATTAAAACATTCACAGAGGTCTTTTAGGCATTTACTCATACAGGCTAGTTATGCGACCATATAATATGAAGTGCTCGCAAGCTCAAATGCAGTTCAAGTAGCTCCTGTAAGTTATATGTATATGCCTTTATTCTCAGCATTTACCAAAGCATGTTTAGGCTTCCCAACCCCCATAATCGTCGGTCTCATTTTTAGGCCTTTCTCTAAGCCTTTCTTGCTGTCACCTTTCGCTTCTCGCCATGCCTCTGCTTTCAGCTCTCCCGAGGATCACCTCTGTGTTTAGTGTCAGGCCGGAGCTGACGGCTCATTGCTGTCCCAAGTGATGACCAAATGACCGCGCTACACACCGTCATTATACACCGCCCATGTGGCACGAGCGGCGTGGGTCTGCGCCGGGCGTGATGGCCACTCTCCCCGCTCTCCCCTTCCCCTCTCACCGGCGTGCGGTCAGTGATGAGCCAGCTAATTACTGTGTGAAACACGACGTGCCGGCTGGTTCTGCACCGGGGTGAGTTTGGAGTTAGCCGAGCAGCTGTGTCAGAGTTAGGTGTGAGCTCGGGGCGTTGAGGTGCATCGGAAGGTGGCGGACCGGCAGCAGCCGCCGACCGGATGCGACGATTAATAGCGTGCGATCGTAGGTCTGGGCAGCTATTAGGGCGTGGGCTGTGGCTGTCACAGATGTGTTGGACTCAAACTTGGCTCGGAGTGAGGTCAACAAGCGGGGCTAAGAACTATCCATCATCAGACTCAAGCCACTGAGCATCCACCAGAGCGATGAATGTGGATTCCACCTCGCATCGTGGATATAGCAAGGACCATAAACTGAGCTCACTGATAAGGGTGATGACTTTTGTTCCACCAAGAGGCGAATGTCACGGCTGCTTGTGGTCATTCCAGTTCACCGCACAAAACCATCATCGGAAGGGTGGTGACCCGTGCGCCGCGGAAGCATGGTTTCCGAGGCCGCGAAATTTGCCGGTGGATTAGCGATGCGATGCTGCCAGCGCCCGCGGGGATAGGGAGTGAAACAGGGGGTGAAATTGCGAACTGAGGCGACGTCAGGCCGGGCTGGAAATAGTGACAGATCACGGAGAGCATACGGCATTCAAGAGCCGACTTCTGGGTCGCTATAATACGGTCACTGAAAACTACACACACGACTCTCGGCGCGGACTGAAAACAAAACAATAGCGAGAGTCGTCTGGCCGCAGAAGCGGAGAGTTCTATGGTGAACAAATGGGCGTAGCTTTGGGTGGAGTTTGTGTGTGATAGAAGCCAGTCGTGAAGACTAGAATCGCCGACTCATCATACAGATTACCACCGTGGCCTCATCACACTTGGTTTATATGTCAGGCATAGATTAACGCGTATTGTACGATACATGCATTAGTTAGGTTCATGCGCAGACATTAATCAGTACCGTATTCTCTCAGTGAGAGAGGACTGACCTGGTTTGTGAGTGAGGCTGGTGTGGCGGCGGTGAGGCCGTCTGACCACAGAGTTACGTGCTGTAGACTGGAGAGCGCCTGCTGGCAGATCCTCCCGAGCTGTGCGGAGTCCGCGGAGGATGACCGTGGTCGAGTCAACCCTCCCGACATCCCACACGAGTCAATCGACTCCACCAAGTCACCGGCAGGACGTCGCTCGCTCAATGAGCGGGGCTCACGCGAGCAGCGTGACTCCTGAGACTCATGTGACTCTTTTACATCACGAGAGTCCTTTGCCCCACGGGACTGAGTCTCGCCGAGAGCGTGTTTTGAGTCTCGCGGCTCCGGTGAGCCTCGGGGCGAGGTCTGGGTGGCGGCGACCGTCTGCCGCGGGCGACGGCGCCCAGTGCGCGGCAGGGTCGCGATGTGCGCGTAGCTCGCCGACGACGGAGCGTCCTCGTCGTCATCGACACTGGTCTCGGGTCCGAGGGGGCCGCGGGGCTCGCTGAGGGACCGGCGCGGTACCACCGTGACCCGTTTGGCAGTCGGTTCGTCGGGAGCGGTAAGGCGGAAGCTGGAGCTGCGCTGCGGCGCACTGCCTTGCCGCGGTGCGCGGGCTGTCTCGCCCCCACCGGCCGGCTCGTGAGCGGCGGCGGCGGCCGGTAGCGCTTCTGATCGGGCCGCAGCCATTGTCCGCACCGGCTCACGAGCAGTCTCGCCGGTCCGGCTTTGTCTTGTCATTCGAGGTAGCGAGCCGTTTGTGATCACGTGACTTCCGATTTTGGTCGATGGTGGCCCGACACCGACAGGCAGACCCATCCTGACCCTCGAGCCCGGCTCGCGACCAGACCTGAACTCTGTGTCATTTGCTGACCTGGGGTCATTTGCCACATGTTGTCCCGGGCGTCCAACGCTCCAGCTTCTGGATCTCATCGCTTCTCGGGTCACTCGGTTCACAAAGCGAACATGAATCTTATCACTAGCGTGAGTCACTCCACCCGCGTCGTTCACGTAATCAGCCGTGTCCCCGTTGTACCCCTCGGCCGGCTCGTCACGACATGCACTCTCACTTTTCCGGCCCTCGCTGGCGCTGCGTGACTCCTCCGGTGGCGGGGAGGCTCGTGACCGAACCGGCAGTGTCAGAACCCAGCGGTGGTCGGTGCTCGGGCGGGAGGCTGTCGTCGGTCGAGGCCGGGGGAGGGAAGCGCTCAGGTAGCGAACGGGTCGCTCCGGGGCCGCCGCGCCGCCTTCCTCACTGCGACTTCGGCCGGCTGGTGTGACACTGATTCGTGTCACTCCGCTGTCCTCCAGGATGATACTCTTTGGTTCGCAGTCATTGTTCGGAGTTGATGGTCTGTTGTCATCGTCAAAGCTGTCGGTTTTGTTCTTGAAAGCGTTATCTCCACGGTCATGTCTGGGAGGCGCCGGAGGCGGGCTCGCTCTCGATCGTGCGAGATGCTGTTCCAGGCGCGATCTAAGAATATCTGTGGTGTCAGTCGGGGCTCTCGGCGTCTCTATGCAGCTTGCAGGTGCTGTCTCCGCCGCAGGCAGCTCTGGCAGGTCACGCGTTCGACCAGGGCGGCCCCCGTGTCGCCTCCTGAGCCTCTCCAGTAGAGTGCTGCTCCAGGCTCGGTTTCGATCGGGTGAACTATCCTTGTCTGGTATTGCCTCCCCTTCCGCCACATCTTCCCTGTCTGGTTTCTCGTCTCTGTCATGAACGCCATCTCTACTCCGCTCCTCTTCGCGTTTCCGTCGCTCAGTCGTCCTCACACTCGGTGGACAGATGATGAAGAACTCATCGTCGGCGATCCCGCCCGCAAACGCCATAACCCTGGACTCTGCCGAAGGCGAGAGCCGCCGTGGCCGCGGGTCGGCACTCTGACGGTCTGGAGAGTCATCAGAGGTGTATTCGACGACCAGATGCCGGCGCTGCCCAGGCCAGAGGCTGGAGTGATCAGGAATGACGGCTGCAGCTGGGGTGACGGAGGACGCCTCTGCGGCGCCGGGTGTGTTCCGAACACCAGACACAGTACCTCGGTGGGTGGTTTTGCCGCCGCGACAGCGACGGTCATGACCGGGCACAGTGGCGTAGTCTCTAAGAGGGGATGTCGCAGCGTGCCGTGGTCGCTGCCGATCGCTGTGCTCGGGACGGCGCGGTGGGCTGGCCTGATCGTGGAAATACCGATCGTCCGAGACGCTACGGGGCTGGGTGACGACAGATGGCTTATCTGGTGGATGGCGCCGTGAATTGACGTGACGTGGTCGTGATGACACTTCATCTATTCTGGCGTCAATTTTGACAACATGTTTTCGTGGACCGTTATGAGCCTTTTCTTCCAGATGATCCGTGTCGACGCCACCGATCCAAAGCGCCTTTTCTGGAGACGGGTCTGGTCTGCCATGCACATCATACTTCTGCTTCCGTGCCTTGTAGCCGACCTTGCCATTGGCATACTGCGTCAGCCACTTCAACATCTCGAAGGCGATGAACGATCGCAGAAGGCGCCGCGGCACAGAAACCTAGCACGAATCACACCTCAGCAATCGGCCGCGCCGGACGTGGCCGGTAAACCGCCGGAAGTGGCCAGGGCGCGCTGTTTTCGGCGGTCGGCAGCTCAGGAAGCACCACTTGTCGTCGCCCCGATTTCCGGCGTCGGAAGCGGCGCCTTTCACTGTTGGCCCGGCACGGTCGGCTCGAGCTGCAGCCCGGGGCCGGTGTTGATGTGTGAGGGCGTTGTGCCGCGCCGCGCAGAGCCGTGACGGTCCGTGTAGGCCGTGACCGGTCCTGTCGGCACAGAGGGCATCAGTCAGAGGACAGACAGTGACATAGACGACGACGTGGCGCCCCTGCCGCCCCCACAATGACAATGGTGCGCACGACTATTGTAGCCCGGCAGGAGGTGCAATTGTTCTAGAGTTTGGACGTCACGGAACGGTTCTCACGGTAGCTGCCATTTCTGGCTGTGATTTTGGGGACGAGGCGGCACTTACAAGAGACATAAAATTGCAATTGTTCCAGCATTTCGCCGCATTTGCAGCATTTTGGGAGCTTTTTATTTTTGAATGACTAATTCGCCTAAATGAGCACGTGAGCTTTATTCGAGGAACTATGTCAGTGAAGAACAATATGGTGCCAGATCCAAGGCGTAATTGTAGCATGTTGGACAGTTGAAACAATCATCTCTTGCGAAACAACTCTGGCAAAATGCTCAAGTCATTCTAATTACATGAGATTAGTGTCATGTGTAGCATGCAACATGAGTGAGCCCAAAATTGTAGGCCTAAGCGCTAATAAACAATACACAAATTGTTGCGGGTGTGTCATAGAGTTCCTCTTGATTAACTTAATTTAGGATGGCGAGGCTGGCAATAAAACTGTTACGTTTTATGGTGTGTAATAGTTAATTTAGTTAACTGCTCCAGACAAACGGTAAAACCACAATGTTACCCCACGGCCCACCCTCTTATCTCTGGAATATCACAACAGTGGAGGTAGCTTTCTATCGTCAAAAGGTTCCTGTTCTAGTCGAACATCTTCACGTCCCCCAAATATTTCCTAGATACCGACACCACGTATCTCCCTTGTCGACCCAAGTCTGGCGCGGGGTGAGAAGAGAAAGCTGTCCGTCTTCTGCTGCGATGCTCCTTCTAAAAATGTGAGATACCTACTTATCGCGTCAGGAGCGAGCAGCTTGGCCGGTCGGCGACTCGCCACGCCCGGGTGGATCGGGGTCCGCGGAGAAAGCTCCTGGGATGGGAACCGAAACCGAACCCCTCCGCATCACACGAGCACGACTATTTGACGGCCACTTAGCCAGAATGACCAGCGTCTGAGCTCAGGTGGCCGCGTGACAAACGCTACCCACGGTAACTGTGTCCCATAGTGAGTGGGAAGTTTGAGTCTGGGGACTTGAGCTCATGCCTTCAATCTCAACATATTCGAGCTTATCGTGCAGATCAACCTCAACGTGCAGGCATTCTCATGACGACGACGACGATGATGATGATGATGATGAGGATGATGATGGCGATTTGTGTTTAGCCTGGAAGCCAGGTTCAGCTGGTACTTAGGTCTTAGCTTACAGTTCGGGTTCGCTTGGTAATTTGCAGCTCTTCCTACGCCTGCGGTACTGGTAAGGTGAGCAAATGATTAACGGTGTTCACGCTTCGCTGCCAAAGGCCGTTAGCAATCAACACACGGGATATCCTTAGCAACCTCTCCGATACAAATGGTTTCTAAACACGCGATATTCACGCTTATTGTGGCAAATAGCTTGGCGTCTATCAATCAAACTTCTCCTTTGAGTAGGTATGCACTTGTCAAAATTTATCGACTTTCAGTTTTTTTATATCTCCCCTTCTTTTTATGGAGTGTGTGTCATTGTGCAAAGCGCATATACGATTGCAGACATCCGTCAGACTAGTAAAACCTTTTACGCATCATTCGCGGCAGCTTTTGAACATGATACGTGACTCGTCATGTGGCCCAACGAGCTCATGGCTCAAAAGAGAGCGGTTCGGTGCGCACAGGTGCATCCAAGACAAATTCTCTGGCGCCGTCTGGACCGCGATCTTTCCGTGGATACGATCGCGGCGCGCTGGCGACCAGCTGAGGCAATTGTGGCGCATCGATCACTGCCGGTGGCCGCCAGCCCTGGGCGGCACAGGAGATAAGGAGTGAAAGCAGTCGTGTGCGGCACAACGTTATTTGTTCCCGACTCCTGAACGCAATTTGGTAATTAGGCAATGTGCACTCATCGCGTACATATCACAAACGACACGAATATTTGGCATAGCGTAGGCCAAGTTCACGAATGGAAAACAGCTACAAATACAACAAAAGCCGCCCCTCTTTGTCAGGCTGACATCGTTTGTTGGTGTTCCTGAATGTACACTGTGTCAGTGTGTCTGTGTCCTGTCACTTACGGTGCCAGTAGGACGGGGCACTGGAATGGTGTCACATGAGGCGCCACAGATGCCGGAAAATAATGACGCGCATACATCAAAACGTCGGACCAGATAACTTCGCTCCTTGTTAGCCAATATATATGCTAAACAGCCGCCCTAAGGAGAAAATTACGGGTAAAATGGTATGGAATGATACAGCTGCTCGTTTACGCTTTCTATGCCTTGCGATGCATTCCGAAAGTTTTAAACGACGCTTAAAATGAAAATAACTTCATTTTGAACATTAAATATGTGTGTTGCTCAGCTCCATAAAATTCGCCATTTACAACAAAAAAGCTGTATACAGCATCAATCACTCACAGCATCACATCAGCATAACAGCTGCCAATGTTTTCCTTTCAACTATTATAGTTCAGTTCCGCGTCTTACTTCAGTGCGTTTTATAAGGATCAGCCTTTTTGGAATGAGTCAACCAGTCTTTACGTTGGGAGAGCGGCGCCATTTGTTTTGCCCAGCAGCTGTCGCCTTCAAATTTGTCTCGTCTGAGATTCGATTTCATGCAACAGCTGGTTCACCATCATTACAACCGGGGGTTGACAATCAACGCCTCAAAGGAACGCGATTAGAGTTGCAAAGTTTTCCCAAAAGGCTGCTACCGGCACCGCCCCGCCCCACAAAAATTTTCTGGGATACCGGCATGCTACCACGCCCCAAGCAAAAAAAAAACGCCAAATTACCGGCATACTGAAAACCTGCATTCTTGATTCTAGCCTACCTTTGCAAGAGATGCCACATTTTGGCAGTTTCAGCACCCCTCCCACCCAACAGCCATCCATTGTCCAACCACAAATACCAGCAGGCTGATTTTGGCTGAGTTGGCCCCACAAATTCCCACAATTTTGAAACTCAATTCCAGTCTATAACTGTTAAAATATCACCTGTAATTAAATAAGTATTGCCTACAAAAAACTAATACATTCATCAAAAAGGTGAGGACGAAAAGGACTTGAATTACTGAAATGTGTTTTTGAAGACTGGACAGTGAGCAGTAATCACATTTACATTTCATAGGTGTTCTACTTCCATATTCTCCTAAAATGTTGCAGGCACCAGCCAAATGTTTAAAATCTAGATGGTCAAAACATAGGTAAACAAGTACAGATTCGGCCATCTTCCTAACTGAGGAAGCGAGATCAACATCTACTTTTTCCTATCCACTATGGCTTGCTGGTTCGTGAATAAGATACGAATCATGTAAAAAATGTGTTAATAACTCACTAGTCCTGAGAATAGTCACCAAATAATATGTATAAAAACGATATCTCTTCCATCCTCTCCAACCTCAAGCGGGAACAAACACAAGGTTATCGATTTCGAAACAGATGCGCCATAACAGAGGCTTTTAACCAGCTGATTAAAACGCTGCCAAAAAATGTTTAACGACTGCAAGCCACTGCCTCGTGAATGATTATATTGATAAAAATTATCCAACACAATATTACATTATGATGAAATCAACATTGTAGTGTAATTCACTACAAAGAAATTCATTTCTCTTCAGTTATTCAACCAAAAGGGTATATGAATAAATATTACGTCATCAGATTACATCCATTCATTAGGGGAGAGAGAATCTTAAAAGCAAATCCTTGGTTGTCTAATTATTTGCGCCACGTTGTGTCAATTTTGCCTGCATGATGTGTTTTCTTGTAAAGATAAAGACAAAATGCCAGTTCAAATCCATTTTCATTTAATTATGGGACCAAAGTCAGGCTCAGGGCTACTAACACCTGCCTTTTCAGCTGGATTTTCAGTGTCAAATTCTTTGTAGGAGTTTCTCAGATCACATCTCATGATCTCAGGACTCAAGGCCAGTTTCCAAGCATTGTGTTTTTTGGTGTTTTGATTCTGCGGGCCTTTTCCCCTAGGGAATGTTGTCATGAACATTTATTTATTTTATTGTGCTATACGTATTACCTACCATTAGACTTACTAGTTTATCGTGCTTTTGCAACATGAATGAGTATTCTTCCTTTTATAGACCACAGTAGATTTTTGACAATTCTAATTATAACCAAGCCTGTGAATTGTGTGAAATGCTGAGGTCCATGTGTTTGTGTTACCCCTACACTTAGCAATGGAACTTCTACCACAAAATGTATCTTGCAGTGGCTAATATTGCTGTTACTACAACTTGAGAGCCTCTTAGTGTCCAAAGTTTGAATCATTTGCTGATAATTTTTTTTTGCACAAAATCAAAAATACCGGCATGCTACCGGCAAGGCATGCCAGATACCACGAATAAACCTGCGGTAGTGAAAAATTACCGGCATGCCGGTAGTGCGGTAGGGAAATTTTGCAACTCTAAACGCGATACCTCCTTGCTCTCTAGCTCCCGGAGGCCCTGAGTGGGGTCACATTACCACAACACCGGTGGTCCACATCTGTGGGGGCCTGATCTGCTTTGTTGTGTGACAGAGTGGGAGTGTCGAGGACTGTCTAGACCTGACAATGACGCTGAATAAAACGTCTTCCGCTCAGTTTCAAGGTGCGGCGAGTTTTCTGGCCACCGGATGAGGGTAGGAAACTAAATGAGGTGGAAAGATTGAAAGCAATGCAAGATAAAATGAGCCAAAGGCCGTGCTACTGGTGACGTGAAAAGCTCTATCCCGAGTTTATGCTTACGAAGTAACTGAAGTAGACAACCATGAATTAGGTAATTTGAAGATGAGATGAGATGAAGATAATGTGAAGATGAGATGAGACGATGAGAAAAAAAATGTCATGATAGTCATCTAACTTAAAGTGATCTTTGGCGGTATCCTCCATTACAATTTTACATTCTCCGCTTGTATGTTTTCATATAATTTGCTCCCA